TTTTTTTTTTTTTGTAATATTTATTTTTATTTGTTTAATCTGTATAAAATATTTATACAATAAGCACAAAAAATGGAGGTATACACATATGAAAGCTTGACTGAAAAAAACTATTTAATAATAGTACTTCATGCTTACATTTATAAAGATAATAATTAAAAATATAAAAATGTACAACTTTTCAATGACTTTAGTAAAGAATAGAAAAAAAATAATAAAATGAAACGGGATATTGCTAGAAAAAGTTCATGAATGACACAAGTGTTTCTTGAACTTTGGACTTTATAACAATACATATACAATTCAATTTTAGTGTGGGCCGCATTAAATTTGTTTAAGTCTAGGCAAGTAATGGAGGGGGTGACCACTGCTCTAGATCCAAAGGTATTCAAACTATTTCATCATCTGTTGGCAAAAATGTTTTGACTCAAAATGGTAAATGTTAAATTATTTATAATACCTCATACATAACTATTAGACATCAATTTTAATAAGAAAAAAATGTTATTGATAATTATTAATAGAAAACTGATTAAATGTTTTAAGTTTAGAATAAAACAATGAATTAAAATACATTATCGCCAAAATGGTTATTTTATTCCTCTATGCCACAGCTTCCCTTACAAATACTCGCGACACAATTTGAATACCTCTGTCCCAGTCAATAATCAAATATTTACTAACCCAAAGCAGTAGGACTTGTTGGTGATGATTTTGACACTGGGCTCTTCAATGATTGATTAAGTTTGGCCTTATTTGATTGAGCAAGTCGTTCAGCAAGACTAGGGGATTTATTACTTCCTGGGCTTGATTTAGTTGAAGATGGGGAACGTCCAGATTTTGACGGACTTGATGAAGCACTGTCAGATTTTGAATTATCATCAGAGGACTTTGGGCTCTTTGGAGAACCAGTTGCAGTTTTTTGTTGACTCATGTTTCCAGAAACTACAAGTTTTGGACTCGGTGGATTTCTCAATTGTAAACCTTCGTTAGGAAATTGTTGTAGATCTAATCAAATTAAAAGTTATTTCTAAATATTATATTCAAGATTTTATTAAAATCAACATGAAAAATAAACTAAATGCTTACATACCTAATATCTAAAAACTTATAATTAAGTTTCAAAAATGTCACCAACACTCTCTATCTCAAAAGAGAATAATTAACTAGCTGACCGATTCATATCAATGCTGTGCAACTCCCATAAACTTCCCATGGAAATTTGTTAGCATGATCATTGATCATATGGTTTTTGCGTCAATAGCGTCATCCACAAAACACAAAAAGTAATAAATTCTCTTTTGAGATAGAGTATAATCTACTTATCATTTAAAAATCTTAAGTTTTAAATACAAAATAAAATATTAATTTAAGAGAATGCCATACCCCTACAAGTCGTCAGTCTTACAAGACTGCTAACACTTTAGTGTTCAGCAGTTCCAATTTTATTAAATAATAAAACCTTATTTCTAAGAGATGTTTATGAAAGTTTTAAGCAATTGAAATTTTCTATTAGGTTAATTACTTTTATCTATTTAGAGAAATAACACAGTGGCTGTCATAGTTGGTTCTTCTACGCAAATCCACAAGACAACCTTCAGTAGCGAATCAGTCTGATGGCAGGGTTTTGTATGGAAATTAGCAGAATCAGTGTTCTCACACTGGACAGAGTACAAACATTACTTATTAGTTGTTACTGACATTACTATATCATTCAAGCTGATTTCTACTTATATAAAAAACAAAATTAAGTATTGAGCGTTCATATTATATTATTATAGAAATCAATGATTACCATTTCATCTTCAATATTTATGAAACAAAATATGTTATATTAAACCATGTCTAATGTCAGTAAATATGTAGATACACAAATATGATACGAATAATAAATTATTGAAGGGAAAAATAATATAATTTATAATTGGTACGATGATACTTTGAAAATTGTGGCAAAACCAATTAATAAAAACTAGCAACAAGGATAAAAAAAACTAAATCCTTGAATAGTCATTAGATATGTGGCGTTGTTAAAGAGGGGAGTCATAACTCGAATGGTGGAAGTTCGCCCCTGTCTGTTATTAAGGTAGGACATTTTGGCCCCCAGTAA